ATTTTTTACTTATAGTGAAAACTACCCTTGGATGATGGGTTAGTAGACTAAAAGCTTTAGGAATCCAAAGTACAACATATAATAAGTACCCTGTATCAAGATTGATGCAAAACAAGTGACATTTGACCTTTTTAGAGAGGTTTAGCAAAAAGAACCACTTCTGGGGTGATTTGGGTGGATTTTCCATATCTCTGGCCCCCCTTGCTCGATTTTGATGGTTGACACCTCTTTCTGACCGTTAGAGCCAATAGAATCGAAGGGGGAGGCCCCCACACACACTCATTGTGAAGAGAAAAGGTGGGGGCTTCGCGCATGTAATTTTGCATCAGAGTGAACCTATCTCTAGCTTTGACATCTGGAAACGGAAAAGCAGTTTTGATGCTTATGGATTATCAGAAATCATTTCAAAGGGACACAGACACATTGGATTAACCTATGGATTAACTTCAGCAGCGTTCTTATCGTTTTAATGCCATTGAAGACCACTTTGGAGAGACTACAGAGCCAAGGTAAAAATGTTAGCATTTTTTAGCTACCTAGCGTCACCTGTTTTGATGTCCGTTTTTGCTTATAACGTCGCAAATACGTATAATTCAGTGGTAATGTCGGTGTCAATAGATTCTGTGTCACCTCACGATGTGAAACGATGTGTTGGATGTGGTGAAAAGATAAATAATAAGGTTTTGTGAGTGATTTTCGGTGCAGTAAGGTGTTAGCAATTTTCGCTCGTTGCTAATTCAGAGGCTCAGTGTTAGCATTGTGGGTTTTCTTTTGAAAAAAAAAAAAAAAAGATCAGTTAGATGAGTTTCTTCCCGTTACATGGATATAAAACATTCATAGTTTTATTAAATGAACATGCCCTCAGACACTGTTTCCTGCAAGATGTTGCGGCAGTGCCCCGGTACCGGGGTCTCTCGGGCTTAACAGGTTAAGCATTAATATAATTATCAATATTATGGAGAAACATGAATCTTACATGTTTATATTTGTCATATTATATTATATTCATTCATCTTACAATGTGCTTTTTATTTAATGTTGAATCTAAAATCAAGCAACTGTTACCAAATCCAAACTTTTCCCCGAGGATAAATAAAGTTTTTCTGATTATAATACTGACTAATATTGTGTGTTTGATGAAACTAAATATTATTTTAATTATCGAGAGATGAAATATTTTCTAGATTAGTGTAAAGGTAAACAAAGAGTCAGGAGAGAAAGTGTTCAGATGTTTCTGAAGATATATCCACTTTCTCTAAACTCACCTGTAGCCTGTGATAACACATGAACACACCTCCATCAGATACACTGGTAACACGGTTAAAACATATTGATCATCATGATATCACCTGGTGTTACCTGCAGATTATAATGTTTAAAAACAGGAACATGTAGTCAAATGAAAACTCACCTGAGGAAAGGACGACCTGAAGGTTTCAGGAGACACAGCGAGTCAGGTTTAACGCTTAGAGCCACACACACAGCATTTCAATGAGTTTGTTATTAAAACCAACACCTGTACTCTTCTTCTTAGGTTTTAATAGATGCATCAGCGCCAGCTGCAGGACCAGAGGGTGGAGAAATACAAACCTCCATCTCTGCCTCTCAGAAACAGCCAGTGAGCTGTAAATCAACTGAGTATATCAAGTACTGTACTGAAGTACACTTTGGAGATAGTTGTACTTTACTTGAGTATTTCCATTTTATGCTACTGTGTACTTCTACTCCTTTACAGTTCAGAGGTAAATGTGTACTTTTATTCCACGACATGTATTTAATACCATTAGGCGCTTTCACACCGGAGTACTTTTCCCAGGAATAGTTCCGATAGTTCTTGGGATTTTGCGTTCACACCAAAGATATCTGGAACTAGAACTTAGTTTGCACTAACCTATTCACCCCCAGATAGTCCCTGCTAGAGAGCAGGGACTATCTGGGGGTGAATAGGTTCCAATTTCTGATTGGCTGGGCGAATTGCAAACCCGTAAAACTCAGAAAAGTTTTGTGAAGCCGTCATTTTATTTGCTCACATTAGCATTATTAGCATTAGCCCAGCGCACCAACGGAGAGAGATTAATTTATGGCAACACAAAAGAAAACATGGGAGCGGTGGAGTGATCCGGAGGTGTCGGCGCTTCTGGCGATGTACTCTGACTCCAGTCCCAGATCTGAGTACATGTACTCTGACTCCAGTCCCAGATCTGAGTACATGTACTCTGACTCCAGTCCCAGATCTGAGTACATGTACTCTGACTCCAGTCCCAGATCTGAGTACATGTACTCGAGCCGCTCGCTAACGCAGCTCGTGAGTTGGGCTCAGAGACCAAACATTTCAGTGATTTCTGCAGTTTCTGGTAACTTCTAATAATGATATAATATTACTTTGTGTGGCTAAAGACGGGTATTCAATGTAAATACGATTGGATATATCGTCAAAGGCTAGCCGACAGACCGACAGACAGAGGCCTGAATCCTACACACTACTGAAACCACAATCAGGTCATCTACGATCTGCGGAGGCCTGCTCCCACCTGTAGAGTACGGCTGTACTGAGGAGGATTTTATCCCGGAGACATCGCGGTGAGACGGAGTGGCTCCACGCTTCGGGCTGGGGCCTGCTCCCACCGGGCGTGTGCTGCTGTGCGGAGGAGGATTTGCCGCGGCTGGGGCCTGCTCTCCACCTGTCCTGGTTCTGCTGTTGCGGAGGCCTGCTCCCACCTGTCGTGTGCTGCAGTGTCGTGTGCTGCTTGCTGAGGAGACCTTTCACCCGGGGGATACCACGGAGAGACCGGAGCGCTTCCTCGCTGCTGCTTTCGCCTGTCCTTTGCTGCTGTGAGGAGGATTTTTGCTCCAGGAACATCGCGGATACTGTGTGCTGGTCTGGGAGGATGGCCCATATCGTGATTCTGCTGTGCCTGTTAACTGTTCTGGACTATGAGAAGATCTCTAGTCATCCTGAGAAGCCTACTGGATTCAGGTCTGTTCTGCCACCCGCAGTGGGCATCCCCTGCAAAGGGTCGGATGTGTTACACAAACAGTTACCGGTTGCCTTGTCGCAGACAATCTGCTCGACAAAATATGTTTGTCTTTTTTGTTTGCCTGCGATGATGGTACTTCAGGACTGCTTCTTGAACTCTAATCAAACTCTCGCAGACTTTTCCGGTGATTCTAAAGTAGATGTCAATGTGTGTGTGTCGTTTAAGAGGAAAAGATGCCTGTTTTTGTTGTTGTTATTACTGTCAGGAGATGTCCAACCTAACCCTGGTCCGCCCAGTAGTAGTAGTCAGATCGCTACTCCTGCTGATTTTAAAGCTAGGTCTGGGTTGGGTCTCATCCACTTGAATGTGCGCAGTCTGTTAGGTAAACTAGATTTTGTCCGCATTTGGGCAAGCTCGATTGACGCTGACGTCATTGTGTTATCAGAAACATGGCTAAATAAAACTATTTTGGCCTCTGACATATCCTGAAATGGCTATAATGTGTATCGTACCGACCGGCCTAATAAAGGTGGTGGAGTTGCCATTTATGTTAAGAATAAGTTCAGTGTAACCACATTGGTTTCCAAATCTGTCAGTAAGCAATTCAAATGTTTAGCCTTAAATATAGAAGTGGCAAAGGGGCAACAAGTCATGGTGGTGGGCTGTTACAGACCCCCCTCAGCTGTCAAGGACTCCTTGTCTTCACTAGCAAATCTTTTATCACAACTAGACTACAAGGAAATAGTGCTGCTTGGAGATTTGAACTGGGACTGGTTAACTGCAGTATCAGAGGATTTTAAAAACCTTTGTATCTCTCTGAATGTTACTCAGATTGTTGACAGTCCTACTCGCCCTAACATTAAGTCCCCTAATAAATCCTCCCTAATTGATCTCATTCTAACTAATGTTCCCTATAAATACCCATCTGTGGGAGTATTTGCAAATGATGTGAGAGACCACTGTGCTGTAGACACAATTAGGGACACTAAGGTCCAAAAGGTTAAACCCCGTATTATTATTAAGAGACACATAAAACATTTTGTTCATGATCTGTTTGGGTTTGATTGGGGGAAAATCGATCTGTGTGCTGATGTAGAACTGCATGGTCTTATTTGTATCTTGGTTTTATGGAGATCATTGATAGACATGCACCCCTACGTACTTTTAGAGTAAAGGGACGAGACAATCCTTGGTTTCCTGCTGAACTGTCCAGTCTCCTACATGAGAGAAACAAGGCCTGGGCAAAGGCTAGGAAATCAGGCTCAGAGGTAGAATGGCTGCGTTTTAGGCAGCTAAGAAATAGCTTCACTTCACATGTCAAAAGTGCTAAGTCTAAGTACTATCTGTCAGTTACCACAGAAAACCTGAATAATCCTAGAACATTTTGGAAAGCCATAAAATCGATATCCACCGGTGAGATCCGTAATGAGCTACCAGTCCCAGATCTGAGTACATGTACTCTGACTCCAGTCCCAGATCTGAGTACATGTACTCTGACTCCAGTCCCAGATCTGAGTACATGTACTCTGACTCCAGTCCCAGATCTGAGTACATGTACTCTGACTCCAGTCCCAGATCTGAGTACATGTACTCTGACTCCAGTCCCAGATCTGAGTACATGTACTCTGACTCCAGTCCCAGATCTGAGTACATGTACTCTGACTCCAGTCCCAGATCTGAGTACATGTACTCTGACTCCAGTCCCAGATCTGAGTACATGTACTCTGACTCCAGTCCCAGATCTGAGTACATGTACTCTGACTCCAGTCCCAGATCTGAGTACATGTACTCTGACTCCAGTCCCAGATCTGAGTACATGTACTCTGACTCCAGTCCCAGATCTGAGTACATGTACTCTGACTCCAGTCCCAGATCTGAGTACATGTACTCTGACTCCAGTCCCAGATCTGAGTACATGTACTCTGACTCCAGTCCCAGATCACCCAGCAGTTTGAAGAGGATCCAGTTTTTGTGGAACAGATTTCTTTATGGTCAGAAACACAGAAACAAAACAAACCAGTCTCTCATTATTAACTGATTTAAAATATATATTTATTGATAACTTGGTGAAATGTACAAGCTATAGAAAGAGAACAATCCCCTCTTTATAAACCTCATGGGTAAAACAGATCTAAAGAAGCATAACAGGTAATACTCTGAAAGGGCATTGTGCACAATGAGCCGTTTCAATCTTATATTATAAACTCATATCATTTGAGAATGTGATGCATTTCTGCTGCTCTTTAAAGGTGGGGTAGGTAAGTTTGAGAAACCGGCTCGAGATACACTTGTTGTTATATTCCATGGAATGCTCTTAACATCCTGATAGCAATGAATATCTGAAGTGCTTTGACAAAAAATCCATAATAAATATCACCTGTGGAAGCTGTAGTACTGTAAAAAGCACGACCAATCATCTGAGCCGGCCCGGCTAAAATAACTGGATGGCCTACCTGCCTGTCAGCCTTCCATCTGTGCACAAACTTATCTCGTGCCCTCATTGGTCATGTGCGCGTTCGTGTGTGTTGGAGGAGGGGCTCTGTGAGGAAGTGGCAGATTTTCTCCGGTTGTGTATTTTCAAATTCTAGCGATCTCGAGCCGATTTCTCAACCTTTAAGAAGCCAATCAACAGTAACTAAGTACATCAACTCAAGTACTGCACTTTAAGATACTTGTACTAAAGTGCATCTCCTGCTACTATATACTTCCTCTCATATCAATGTGAATGTACTGATATAGTGAGATGTTTCATTACAGATTGAACTACCCAGCAGTGATTGGAATGACTCAGATCTTGTGAAACAAATGACCAAACACTCAGATCTTTGACTGTGATTTGAACCTTTAACACTATTTGAACCAAAGGGAGAAATATAAACCTCACGCTGGTTTCTGAACAATCACCAGACAGTTTCACAGAGAGACTGAGCTGCGAGGGTTTAGATATAGAACATTCAATATGTCTGAAGGTGATGTGAGCAGTGATCGATGGGTAGGTCTAACAGGTGATATAGTGTTAAATACTGACTGGGACTCCTTCCTGTGGATGGATCTGACAGGAGGGTCAGGGAACTGGGACTCCTTCCTGTGGATGGATCTGACAGGAGGGTCAGGGAACTGGGACTCCTTCCTGTGGATGGATCTGACAGGAGGGTCAGGGAACTGGGACTCCTTCCTGTGGATGGATCTGACAGGAGGGTCAGGGAACTGGGACTCCTTCCTGTGGATGGATCTGACAGGAGGGTCAGGGAACTGGGACTCCTTCCTGTGGATGGATCTGACAGGAGGGTCAGGGAACTGGGACTCCTTCCTGTGGATGGATCTGACAGGAGGGTCAGGGAACTGGGACTCCTTCCTGTGGATGGATCTGACAGGAGGGTCAGGGAACTGGGACTCCTTCCTGTGGATGGAGCTGACAGGAGGGTCAGGGAACTGGGACTCCTTCCTGTGGATGGAGCTGACAGGAGGGTCAGGGAACTGGGACTCCTTCCTGTGGATGGAGCTGACAGGAGGGTCAGGGAACTGGGACTCCTTCCTGTGGATGGATCTGACAGGAGGGTCAGGGAACTGGGACTCCTTCCTGTGGACGGGGGTACCTGGGGGTCGACGTGTTTTGGAAGTCATATGGTCTGTGTTTACATTAGCAAGTAGCGCTAAGTCGCTAACTAGGAATAGAGGGGTTTGATGCATGACTAGAATGGGTGATCTGTTTGGTATTTTGAGCAAAACACATCATAGACATGTTTTTTTATATATTTGTATATATCTGAGACACACAATATATGCCTAAAAACAGCACGATAGGAGACCTTTAAGGCGAGAGGTTATGAAGGTGGAAGCTACTCGGCCGGGCTCTGGCTGGCGGCTCTCAGCCGGTAGTGGAAGCGTACGTCTGCGTCCGGCAGCAGGATGCCCAGCCCGGCCCGGCTGTAGTCCAGAGAGACCCGGTTCTGACCCGGCTGCAGGTCCAGGTCCAGGTACAGCAGCACCAGACTCAGGAACTGCTTGATCTCGTTGACGGCGAAGTGTCGTCCGGGACACATGGAGGCGCCGGAGCCGAAGGGCATCAGGAAGAACTTCAGCTTCTGCCCGCTCTTATAGAAGTCCGTCTTCACACGGCCGTCCTGGGCGAAGCGGTCGTAGCGGAAAGACTGGAGGAAGAAGAAACAGGTTTATCACCAGGTACGAGGAATTTGACTTGGTGTCATGGTGCATACATACAAAATAACATTACAAAAGATTTAAAATAATACAAAAATATAGTAAACGGGGGTACCTGGGGGTCCTGGTAGATCTCGGGGTATTTTGAGCAAAACACTTCATAGGTTTTTTTACTGCACATATTTTATATTTTATTCCATTCTATTTCTATTTCTATGTGAATACTGCTAATATTTTTTTCTTATTTATTTTTAAATGTTATTATAGTTTTCTTAAAATAGTTTTCTATTTGTGTTTTTAAATTCTTGTTTTACTTTGATGTCTGCACCACGACACCAAGTCAAATTCCTCGTATGTGTGAACCCACCTTGTTTCTGATTCTGAGATATGTGTTTTTATATATCTGAGACCTATAATATATGCCTAAAAGTGGCATAATAGGAGACCTTTAATGTGAAGTGGGTTAACTCTAAACTGGGTTTGAGAAACGGGGGTAATGCTGCGTTCACACCGGACGCGATGCGATGTTTGGGGGCGGGCGATTCCATGTAAAGTCAAAGCAGAGATGTGGACAGACGCAAATTCGCTCCGACGGCGAGCATGAAGCGGTTGATGCGAATGTCGCGGCGCGATTGAGGCGATTGGAGGGGGCCGCGACAACCGCTCAAGTTTAATTTTTTCAACTCGAGCGTCAAATTCCCGTGACGCAATCTCGCGGTAGCCAATCAGCGGTGAGGATCTCAGCCTGCCGTCACTGACCTAGAACCACAAAACCAACACAGCCGTTAGCTGTTAGCACTCAGAGCTCACAGCTCCTCATATCTGTTCAGAAACTCGACAAAAGTTAAACAAGTACAAACCACAGACTGCCTGTGTCATGGTGAATACAGTCGCTGCTTTATTTATGTCTGTATAGGCCGTTGTTGTGAGTGTGGACGGTCGGAGCATATACTGCGTTAGCTTAGCCAATCTCCATTTAGAAAACACGCATTTTAAAAGGTGTTTCTCCTGCCGTGTGTCTGCAGACTTGACAAAGCATTAATTCATGGTTTTTACTAACCGGTATCAGTATGTTCTTACTTCGGCATCATTTAGAAACGTGCATTACAATTAAATCACGGTCAAATATGTCCATCTTGTTGTAGTTGTAGCCCCCTTGCCAGCGCGTCTTGTTTGAATGATGCGAGTAAACACAGCTGACAGCCGCGGTGAAACTCGAGCGTTTAGAGCAATGCGATAGGAGCGATTAGAGCAAAGCGAATATTTGCATCGCGTCCGGTGTGAACGCAGCATAAGAGATGAGATAATACTTTGTTTATCCCGAAGGAAATTGTTGTACCAGAGTTACAAAAATACAATAAATACAGCAGCGTGATAATAAAACTGAACACTAAAAGTGCAGTAAAAAGAGCAATTAAATATCTACAGGAAACATGAAACATAACCTGGGGGTCCTGGTAGATCTGATAATAAACCCGTTTCTGATTCTGAGACATGTTTTTTTATATATCTGAGACCTATAATATATGCCTAAAAATAGCATGATAGGAGACCTTTAATGTGAAGTGGGCGTGGTTAACTCTAAGCGGGGGGTACCTGGGGGTCCTGGTAGATGTCGGGGTCCATGTGCATGCTCTGGGGGTAGAGGGCGATCACGTCTCCCTTCCTCACGGACGCAGAGCGCTCTTCATCCAGACGCAGACTGAAGTCCTCCTGAGACACCCGGATGTTGGTGGAGGCCGAGGACAGACGCAGACCCTCGCTGATGGAGCTCTCTGGGGAATAGAGATGCAAATCAAACATGAGAAACACACTCAACCCTTCAACAGTGTTTACTGACGGGTCGGCAGAGATGGCAAAAGTACACACATCCTTTACACAAGTAGAAGCACAGATACTCGTGTTTAAAAATACTCTGGTGAAAGTAGAAGTACTCACTAAACTTCTTTACTCAAGTCAAAGTGAAGAGGCTTTGAAATGTACTTCAGTAAAAAGTACCCATAACTAGCAGCTGTTTTAAAGAGTACCTGACCTCCCTTTATATTAATAGAACAATAATGTCATTGTTAGCTAATGAATGTTTCCATGCTGAACAACGGCAACATGACAACGTTTTCATTGGTCCCTCTTCTTTAGAGAAGACCAGGAAATGATGGATACACGGATCGTGTTCAAATCAATAGGCACGCAATGACTCTAAAGAATAATGATCACGCCACCAGACACACATTCAAACTAAAGGAACCAGCCTGTTTGGGAAATGTGAGAAGTAGAAAGTACAGGTATTTGAGTTCAACATGTAAGAAGTAGAAAGTACAAGTATTTGAGTTCAACATGTAAGAAGTAGAAAGTACAGGTATTTGAGTTCAACATGTAAGAAGTAGAAAGTACAGGTATTTGGGTTCAACATGTGAGAAGTAGAAAGTACAGGTATTTGTGTTCAACATGTAAGAAGTAGAAAGTACAGGTATTTGAGTTCAACATGTAAGAAGTAGAAAGTACAGGTATTTGAGTTCAACATGTAAGAAGTAGAAAGTACAGGTATTTGGGTTCAACATGTGAGAAGTAGAAAGTACAGGTATTTGTGTTCAACATGTAAGAAGTAGAAAGTACAGGTATTTGGGTTCAACATGTGAGAAGTAGAAAGTACAGGTATTTGAGTTCAACATGTAAGAAGTAGAAAGTACAGGTATTTGGGTTCAACATGTAAGAAGTAGAAAGTACAGGTATTTGGGTTCAACATGTGAGAAGTAGAAAGTACAGGTATTTGTGTTCAACATGTAAGAAGTAGAAAGTACAGGTATTTGTGTTCAAAGTGTAAGAAGTAGAAAGTACAGGTATTTGTGTTCAACATGTAAGAAGTAGAAAGTTCAGGTATTTGTGTTCAAAGTGTAAGAAGTAGAAAGTACAGGTATTTGTGTTCAACATGTAAGAAGTAGAAAGTACAGGTATTTGTGTTCAAAATGTAAGAAGTAGAAAGTACAGGTATTTGTGTTCAAAGTGTAAGAAGTAGAAAGTACAGGTATTTGTGTTCAACATGTAAGAAGTAGAAAGTACAGGTATTTGTGTTCAACATGTAAGAAGTAGAAAGTACAGGTATTTGTGTTCAACATGTAAGAAGTAGAAAGTACAGGTATTTGTGTTCAACATGTAAGAAGTAGAAAGTACAGGTATTTGTGTTCAACATGTAAGAAGTAGAAAGTACAGGTATTTGTGTTCAAAATGTAAGAAGTAGAAAGTACAGGTATTTGTGTTCAAAGTGTAAGAAGTAGAAAGTACAGGTATTTGGGTTCAACATGTAAGAAGTAGAAAGTACAGGTATTTGTGTTCAACATGTGAGAAGTAGAAAGTACAGGTATTTGTGTTCAAAATGCAAGAAGTAGAAAGTACAGGTATTTGAGTTCAACATGTGAGAAGTAGAAAGTACAGGTATTTGTGTTCAACATGAAAGAAGTAGAAAGTACAGGTATTTGTGTTCAAAATGTAAGAAGTAGAAAGTACAGGTATTTGTGTTCAACATGAAAGAAGTAGAAAGTACAGGTATTTGTGTTCAACATGTAAGAAGTAGAAAGTACAGGTATTTGTGTTCAAAGTGTAAGAAGTAGAAAGTACAGGTATTTGTGTTCAACATGTAAGAAGTAGAAAGTACAGGTATTTGTGTTCAAAGTGTAAGAAGTAGAAAGTACAGGTATTTGTGTTCAACATGTAAGAAGTAGAAAGTACAGGTATTTGAGTTCAACATGTAAGAAGTAGAAAGTACAGGTATTTGTGTTCAAAATGTAAGAAGTAGAAAGTACAGGTATTTGTGTTCAACATGAAAGAAGTAGAAAGTACAGGTATTTGTGTTCAACATGTAAGAAGTAGAAAGTACAGGTATTAGTGTTCAACATGTAAGAAGTAGAAAGTACAGGTATTTGTGTTCAACATGTGAGAAGTAGAAAGTACAGGTATTTGTGTTCAACATGTAAGAAGTAGAAAGTACAGGTATTTGTGTTCAACATGTAAGAAGTAGAAAGTACAGGTATTTGTGTTCAACATGTAAGAAGTAGAAAGTACAGGTATTTGTGTTCAACATGTAAGAAGTAGAAAGTACAGGTATTTGTGTTCAACATGTAAGAAGTAGAAAGTACAGGTATTTGTGTTCAAAATGTAAGAAGTAGAAAGTACAGGTATTTGTAAAAGTAAAAAGTAGTGGAGTAAAGTACTGATACCAAAAAAAAGTAGTTGAGTACAGTAACAAAGTATTTGTACTCCACTACTTCCCACCTCTGCTGGTCGGAGAATAAAAAGATCTTGTGTTAAACACATTCAGTCCCATCAGACCAGAACATCACAGTGATGCAATAAATGACTAATTATTTTTTTCACTTAAATGACAGAAATTGTGAATGGTACAGATGGAGCATCTTATTTCAGACTCCAGCATACAGCTTCCTGCCTACTACCAGCCAGTTACCTGCCTAAGACCTGCCAAAGACCAGTATCTGGGAATGTTAAGCCCTCCCACTATTTTCCAAGAGGGCGTTGCCAGATTTTCAATTTCAGGATTTAACCAGGAGATGGCGCTATATATTAAATAACTATGGCCAAACTAAGACTTAGTTTTTCACAAGAGAAAATGCAGATATTATATAAAAAACTAAAGTTAAAATCTTGTTTTTAATGCCCCAAGAGCAATAAAAACACTTGTTAAAAAAATCCTGAGTGAGGCTTTCATAAATTGCATTTAGCTGACGCTTTTATCCAAAGCGACTTACTATTTAATAAAGGATAAATGATTATTCATAACAAATATGAGTGATGTGTGATTATTATTCATGCTATATACTGATATAGGGCTAAGTAAGCAATCAATCCTGCAAATTAACCCTTAGTTGTTCAATATATTTATTCAGACAATGTGAGTAGAAATACAGAAATTCTGCTCCCACCTAAGGCCAACGTTGCAATATTACAACATTTCCCTAAAAACTTACCAAAACGTAAACATTTTTAAAACTCTTTAATTTCTGCTCCAGAGGCCAGGGGTTAAATTGGGATTTGATATGTGGGGGGGCTCTGTTAGAAGGTGCGACGGGGGAGGGGGGAGAGAGTTAGACGCTCGTGAATTGTCAACGGGGGGGGGTTGACATCAGAGCATCGTCCTATGGGCTTAGCCCCGGACAGGTACAACAGGTATTCACTCAGAGGGGGGTAGGTACCTAATGCCACACATTTACATGTAGGCAAACAAAATCAACATACAGTAGGGGGTGGGGGATGGTGAACGGTATGGTCAATGTTTGTAAACACAATCCCCAGGATGTGTCCTTATCAAACCAAAATAGAAAATGCAGATATTACACTCAGACATTGGAAAAGTCTATGTTAAAAAGCCTCAGTCATGTTCAGCTATGTTACTATTTATAATGTTATTGTTGTTACAACAGAAGATGTTTTTCTTTATATTGAAGTTAAATGCATCAATCTGGTGCACTTTGAGGTCAAAATTAAGAGATTTATGGATACCGCTGGAAAAAGCTGTGTGTGAAAGTTTAAATCTTCCTTATTGAGCTTTAAAACAAATGAATAACGACTATATATAATAATAAAATAAACACCGGCTGTTGTTATGCCTGCTGTAACGTTAAATTACTCCGTTCTCCGCTTAAGTAATTATGCCGTTACAAGCTTCATAGTTGTATTTATCATCTAAATTTGCCGAAACAAGTTTAATATTCTGAAAGCCAAGACTTTGTTTATTTGAAATCAGATGAAAACAAACTGTAACGGAACCTGCCGTGTTATCTTGATATTTCCGGCACAGACCCTTTCATACCGGCAATGCGCGATAGAAACAACAGGAACTGCGACAGCATAAATATGCGAACACAAACCTACAGACTGCTGGAGAAGAGATATCACAGGGGGGGGTTGGGACACACACATTGGCCAATTAGTTTTAAACAAAGAGTATAGCCTACTCAACATAGGGGGGTGGGGGCTGGTGAACGGTATGGTCAATGTTTGTAAACACTGTGACATTTTGACTTTATTTGAGAGACACGCTACCATGGAAACCAAACAATGGTGTTGCTGTATTGAAGTCCGAGTGGAAACAGTCATATTTGGAGCGTTATGTTAGAATGAAACAGCCAGGTCGTGACTCACAAAAAAAAAGTGTTACTTCACTAACTGTAAGCTTGTCACTCAGAGTAACCTACAGTTAACCTCTTAAGCCCTGAGCCTGTTTTTCAGGTCTCAGGCTCGAAAATGACATTCCCAGAACAAATGACCATATCTTCCCTTCTAAAAGGGTTAAATTAATAATCTTTTTTCTCAAAGTAATGATAAACCTGTGAGTTGGATGTAGAAGTGTCAGAATCAATATAGATGTTTTTTATTTTAAAGAAAATTCAGATTTTACATAGTAAAAAACTGTAAATTATAGTGTCCGTCCAAAAATTATTTTTTACAGATAGTGAAAACTATCCTTGGATGATGGGTTAGTAGACTAAAAGCTTTAGGAATCCAAAGTACAACATATAATAAGTACCCTGTATCAAGATTGATGCAAAACAAGTGAAATTTGACCTTTTTAGAGAGATTTAGCCAAAAACCCCCACTTCTGGGGTCATTTGGGTGGATATGACCTATCTCTGGCCCCCCTTGCTCGATTTTGATGAATGAAATCTCTTTATAACCGCTAGAGCCAATGGAATCGAGGGAAAGTTATATACACACCAACACGTTAACAAATAAGGAGTGAGAGTGACGCGTTACCAAAACCGGAAGC